CCTTCCTCAGCCACTGACTCCTGATCGTCCCCCTGACCCCATTCGAGGGCGGGGCTGGCTGGCCCACTGCCCACAGCCCCTCCCCACAGCAGGCCCTGCCCCCAATTGGCTCCCCCATCCCAATTGGAGGTGGAGTCCGCTGGATAATTGCCTACAGCCTCTCCCCCCAGCTGGCCCGGCCCTGATCGGGCCCCAATCGGGGTGGGCCGGCTGGCCAACTTCCCGCTGTCTCCTCCTCCTGACAGGCCCAGCCCCGATCTGCCCTGATGCACAAATTTGTGCACTGGGCCTCTAGTATACTGGATAACGGCTTAATATCCAGAATATATAATGAATAAACTGGTTAAAAAATGGGCAAAGGACTTGAGTAGACATTTATCCAAGGAAGACATATAAAGGTCCACAAGCCTATGAAAAGATGCTCAACATCACTAATCATCAGAAAAATGCAGGTCAAAACCACAGAAATATATTGCATACTCATTATATTGGCCACTATCACCCCCACCCCCAACAGAAAATAACAAATGTTGAGAAATTGTCCTTATACACTACTGGTGAGATTGCAAAATGGTGTAGCCACTATGGAAAAGAGTATGGCAGCTCCTCAAAAAATTAAAAATAGAACTATCATATTATTCAGTGATCTCATTTCTGGGTATTTATCCTAAAGAATTAAAAATAGCATCTCGAAGAGATACTCACACACCCATGTTCATTGCCACATTATTCACAGTAGCCAGTAAGTAGAAGCAACCTAAATGTCTATCAAGGGATGAATGGATAAAGAACATGTAAATATATACACTGGAATATTATTCAGCCTTTAAAAAGTAAGAAATTTTGTCATATGCTACAACATGGATAAACTTAGAGGGCATTATGCTAAGTGAAATAAGCCAATCGCAAAAAAAACAAATATTGAATAATTCCATTTCTATGAGGCTTCTAAAGTAATAAGACTCAAGGTCCTGGCCAGGTAGCTCAGTTGGTTAGAGCTTCATCCCAGTATGCCAAAGTTTCAGGTTCATTCCCCTGTCAGGACACATATAAGAAGCAGCCAATGAATGCATGAATAAGTGGAATAACAATGTCTTTTATATATATACTAAAGGCCCAATTCACGAAGATTTGTGCAAGAATGGGCCTTCCTTCCCCTGGCTGCTGGCACCGCCTTTGCTCTGGCCAGAGCTGCCTTTCCGCCTTTACTCCAGCCCAGAGCTGCCTTTCTGCCTTCGTTCCCGCTCGTAGCTGCCTTTCTGCCTTCCCATGCTGCCCAGAGGCCCGGAGCTGCTGGGGTGGTGCAGAACTCCTGAGTCATTGCCATAGTGACAATGCAAGTGTCCCACCCCGCCCCTGGCCGCTCAGCGCCTGCGTATGCAAATTAACCCACCATCTTTGTTGGGTTAATTTGCATACTCACTCCTGATTGGCTGGTGGGCATCGCAAAGGTATGGTCAATTTGCATCTTTCTCTTTTATTAGTGTAGATATATTTTTATTGATTTAGAGAGGAAAAGAGAGATAGAAACATCAATGATGAGAGAGAATCAGTGATCAGCTGCCTCCTGCATGCCCCACACTGGGGATCATGCCCTGACCGAGAATTGAAGCGTGACCTCCTGGTTCATAGGTTGACGCTCAACCTGAGCCACACCAGCTGGACAAAAATGTCTCTCTCTCTCTGTCTTTCTTCCTCTCTCTCTCAAATCAATAAATAAAATAGTTTAAAGCAGCACCATACAGTATGGTAGCCACCAGCTACATGTGGCTACTTAAATTTAACTTTCAAGCAATTAAAGTTAAATAAAATTTAAAATTCAGCTCCTCAGGCACCTTAGCACATTTCAAGTACTTAGTACTGATGAGTGGCTAATAGTTTGTAGACAGTCCTGTTATAAAACATTTCCATTATCACCGAAAGTTCTATTGAGAGAGCTCATTCGGTCAGTGATTCTCAACTGGAGATGATTTTGTCCCCCACAGGGCCAATGCGTGCACATGTTTTGGGTTGTCACAACTTGGGGGATGCAACTAGCACCTAGTGGGTGGAGGCCAGCGATGCTGCTAAACAAACCCTAAGTGCCCAGGGCAGCGCCACAACAGAGAATTACCTGGCCCCAGTGTCAGGAAGGCCGAGGATGAGAAACATGTGCAAGGAAGGCCTTGGGTGAGTTTTCCCTGTCCCACCAGAATGCTAACTTTCCTAGGATTTGAATGGGTTCATCTACTAGTACAATCACCAGCCTGATGGGCATTTTTCAGAATAAGTGGCATGAAGTCCAGTTTCTGCCTCAGATTCCTGGGATTCCTCGTTGTATTTGGGATAGGATATTACAATCCAGAAATCATCGTCCGGTTGTGTTTTCAAGCCTCCATACTTCCCTGTGAGTGTGGGGAGACCCATGGGATATAATCCACACACCTCAGACCAAGAAGGGTTTTTTCCAAGGCTGGCTACAGTTCCCAGGCCAACTCTGCCCCGAGCTAAGAATGGTTTTTACATTTTTAAATGGTTGAGAAGCAATCGAAAGAGTATTGTTTTTATGACACGTGCAAGTTACATACATTCAGGTTTCGGTGTCTATAAAGAGAGTTCTATTGGAACCCAGCTGTCACTACCACTTACTAAGTGATGTCCTTGTCTGCTTTCATTCCACAGCACGGAGCTGAGCAGTCCCCTACGTGAGGCCCAGAAAGATGAAAATACTCACTCTCTGCCCCTTTTCAGGAAGAGTTTGCTAATTCCTGCTCTGGATACTAAAGATCTTGGTGGAGTTTTCTTTATATTTTTCCTTTCATTTTTTAAAAAAAGATCGTAATTATCCTGATAATTTGCAGGCGTAGACTCAGATCAAATGGACTTTCCTTGGGAAGCGGCGGCAGGCGGGGATTAGCGGCCATGCAGGGGCGTTCGAGTGAAAGATTCCTCTTAGGTGAATTTAGGGAACAAAGGCCCGTGGTCAATGATTTCTGTGGGTATAAAGTAAAAGGGGGGCTGAGTTCTTTTGTCAGTTTTGCAGCACAAATCATACAGTTACTGAATACCCTCGGTCGCAGCAGTTTTCTTTTAATGCTTAACTCCGTGACCTCACAAAAATAATTGCTGGGAAGCAAATTTACTTAGCCCTGCGCCTTTATTTGCTGGCCGAGGGGCTCAGCCCGTAGTCATATTGTTTATGGAAATGTGAGAGGGGGCGGGGAGGAGAAAGAACACAATTTGGCCGGAGAAGATGGATGAATTGAAAGGATTCGAGGGATTTTGTCTTTGCTTTATAATTGGAGTCAGGATCTCCCTGCCCGTTACCCTTCCTTTGCAGACGTGAAATCTCCCCGGCTCCTCCCGCCCCAAGTCCTAGCAAGCGCTTTCTCACTGGGCTGGCATCTGGCTTTTAAAACCCTGTCGTTTTTATAATTATGATGAATATTACGACTGGTCCAGTGAATAGGCTTTTTCAAATTCTGAGAATGTCTTTCGCCGGAAAGGAAAAAAAAAAAAAGTTGATGAAAAATGATGAGTATGCCTTCGGGGCGGTTGTGACTTGTTGTTTGATTTAAGTCCACAAGAATTCTCACTTCGGGGGCGCCCATCAGCCGTGGCTCGCAATCTGCCTTGGAATTTTACTTTGAGAAATGGCAGATTGTATCTTGGAAGAAACCTCCGCAAATAACCTCACTCTGTCCCAAACCCTCACTCTAGAAAACAGATGAGCCCGTGTTTACAGCAGGGATCACACTCAGCGATTTAGGGATTGCCTTGGTGGGCAACAGAATAGGGACACCTCCCAGCCCTTTAATTTTGTAAAGTTAAAACCTGCCTTGGCTGCGGCTGATAGAAAAAAAATATGAGTATAAAAAAAATGAAAGCAAAAGTTAGCAGGCCACACCCGGTTAGTTGGGGAAGCCGCTCCGAAGGCACTATGGAGCTTGGCTTCCTTAGGAAAATACTTAACCAGCCGATCAGTCCAACCATCTGATAACTGCTTATCTGCTCTAATGCGATTGAGATTCCTTTCGATGGCTCTTTGCATTCCACTCACAAAGCTCATCTTAGGTAAGCACCTTGAGAAGAAACAAAAATTCATGTGTCTCAGCTTCTGCATTCATGGAATTTTCTTTTCACAATGGAAGGAAACAAGTTAAGCTGGGGGGCGGGGGGTGGGGGTGGGGGGGTGAATGGGGGTGCTCAGAGAATTGAATACCTTTAAAAGGGAGGGCCCAGTGTTCAATTCGTGTGGAGTGCCCACACAAAAAAGGTGAAGCACTTGTTTCTGGCTAACGGTTGAGAAACCACCAAAAAAAAGATTATTTCATGATGCCAGAAAACTCTGTCAATCCACACGTCAGTGTCCATAAAGAGACTTCATTGGAATGCAGTTTCCAGCCTCTGGAGCTAAAATAGCAAAGAGATCTTACAGGAGAGGGAAACACAGAAGAGGAATTGGCTACTCTAGTCTCCATTTTTATTTATTTTTAATTTTTTAAAATTTATTGAGTTTAGAGAAACATCGATTTGTTGTTCCCCTTATTTATGCATCCATGGGTTGACTCTTGTATGTGCCCTGACTGGAGATGGAGCCTGAAACCTTGGCATATCAGGACAACGCTCTAACCAACTGAGCTACCGGGCCAGGGCCTCTCGTCTCCATTTTTTAAAAAATATGTTTTTATTGATTTCAGAGAGGAAATGAAAGGGAGCGAGATAGAAACATCAATAATGAGAGAGGATCATCGATGGGCTGCTTCCTATATATTCCCTCCTGGGGATTGAGCCCGCAACCCGGGCATGTGCCCTTGACCAGAATCGAACCTGGGACCCTTCAGTTCACCTGCCGACGCTCTATCCACTGAGCCAAACCAGCCAGGGCATCGTCTCCATTTTAAGCTACCCAATCACGCAGGAAAAATTAAAATGTGTGTAAGTGGAGATTTCCCGGTTTTGGGAGAATCATAACTTGGAGTGTGCCCTCTCTGCATCCACAGTTCCTTTTATAACCATCTACTCCAACAGTCTTCTATAAAATGGGAGAGAAGCAGGGTGCCTCTCTGATGAGAGTAAAATTAATAAACAGGAAGAGCCTGGCACACAGTAGGTGCTCAAAAACATCTTAGCTATTATTCTTATTCTTACGAGTTATTTGTTCACAGCAATTGTTCCTTTTCTTTCTTCCTCTTTTTAATCCTCACCCTAGGATTTTTCCCCATTGATTTTCAGAGAGTGGAAGGGAGGCAGGAGGGAGAGAGAGAGAGAGAGAGAGAGAGAGAGAGAGAGAGAGAGAGAGAGAAACATCTATATGAGAGAGACACATCAATTGGTTGCCTCTCGAATGAGCCCCCACTGAGGCAAGGGATTAAACCTACAACAGAGGTACGAGGTATGTACCCTTGACTAGGAATCAAACATGAGAACCTGTGGTCCTCAGGCGGATGCTCTAATTACTGAGCTAACCAGCCAGAGCTGTTCCTTTTCTTGACTATTTGTCATTGAGAGCAATTTGACAGTATTCATTAAGTTTTAAATCAGCCCTAGCCTGTTTGGCTCAGTGGATAGAGCGTCAGCCTGTGGATTGAAGGGTCCCAGGTTCGATCCAGGTCAAGAGCACATGCCCAGGTTACAGGCTAGATTCCCAATAGGCGACTTGCAGGAGGCAGCCAATCAATGATTATCTCTCATCATTGATGTTTCTATCTCTCTCTCCCTCTCCCTTCCTCTCTGAAATCAATAAAATTATATAAAAAAAATTTTTTTTAAATCAGTGTGTACTTTGACTCAGTATTCAATTTGTAGGCATTTATCCCATGGGTTAACTCCCAGTCCATGTGTCAAACAATTCATATATTTGTTTGTTTTTATTCCCATACCATGTCACGAATAATTCTTTCACTCTGTAATTAAGAACATACACATTTAGGATTATATCATTTGGTGAACTGACCCCATTTTATCCCTGCTAGTGTAGCCACTCCACGGTATTATGCGTAGCATTTGCATGGTGCATCTCTTTCTAGTCTTTGCTTCTAATATGTCTTTATACTTAAAGTGGGTTTCTTGGAGACAGCATATAGTTGGTTGTTGCCTTTTTATGCAGCCTGATAATCTCTGACTTTTTTAATTGGAATGTTTTGGTCATTTACACTTGTGTAATTTTTGATACGGTCAAAGCTAAATCTACCATCTTGCTTTTTGTTTTCTATTACCTCATCTGTTCTTTATTTCTTTTTCCTGCCTTCTTTGGGTTAATTGAATTATTTTTAGGATTTCATTTTATATCTACTCTTGAATTGTTAAGCTATATCCTTTATGATTGATTGATTGATTGATTTAATCCTCACCCGAGGACATTTTCCCATTGATTTTTAGAGAGAGTGGAGTGGAGGGGGACAAACACAGAGAGAGAAACATCAATGTGAGAGAGATACATCGATTGGTTGCCTCCAGCACGTGCCCTAACAGGGGCTGGGGATGGGCCTGCAACCGAGGTACATGACCTTGACCAGAATCAAACCCGTGACCCTTTCGTCCACGGGCCAACACTCTACCCACTGAGCCACACTGGCTAGGGCTATCCTTTTATTTTTAGTAGTTGTTCTAGGGCCTATTATGTGCAACTTTAACATCACAGTCTACCATCAAGTGATAGTAGAACACTTCACATGTGATCTGAAAGCCTTGTGGTGGAGTATTTCCATTTCCCCTCATGTCTCCTGTGCTGTATTTGTCATGACTTTTTACTGCTACTTATGTTATAAATCCTAAAATACTTTCTTTTTGCTTTAATAGTCAATTATATTTTTTTAAAAAATAAACTTCATTTTAGAACAGTTTTAGGTTTAAAGAAAAAAATTGTGAAGATGGCACTGAGCATTCCCATATCGTGTTCTCCCTATTACTGACATCTTACAGTAGGATGGTACATTGCTTGCAATGAATGAACCAACATTGATACACTATTAGTAATTAAAGTGCATACTTTATTAGATTTTCTTTAAAAATTTTTTAAAGAATAGTTATTGATTTCAGAGAGGAAGGAAGAGGGAGAGATAGAAACATCATTGATGAGAGAGAATCGTTGATTGGCTGCGTCCTGCACGCCCCCTACTGGGAATTGAGCCCACAACCAGGGCATATGCTGGGAATAGAACTGTGACCTCTGGGTTCATAGGTAGACGCTGAACCACTGAACCACACTGGCCGGGCTGTCCGTGTTTTTTGAAATTGACAGTTTTGAGGAGTACCGATCAAGTATTTTATAGAATGTACTCCACTGGGATTTGTCTGATGTCATATGTTTGTGGAAGAAAGACCACAGAGGTAAAGCCATTCATATCATATCATCTCAAGGGTACATACTATCAACATGACTTATCACTGTTGATGTTAACTTAGAGTACCTGGTCAAGGTTGTATTTGTGAGATTTCTCCACTGAAAATTTCTTTTCCCCCTCCTTCCATGCTGTATTTCAATGATCTTCTAAAGACATTAAAAACAGACTGGGAATCAAATTGGCAACCTCCTGAGGCATGAAATGAGCCTAACCAACTGAGCCACAAGGACGAGGGCAGTTTTCCTTTAAAGGTAAATTTATTCTCCATGCTAACTCTGGCTGAGGAGTCCTAGGGAGTGCTTTGACTGGCTCAGCGTGATCCCTTGTTTAGTTCTGAACCAATCAGGAAGGCAGTGTTGGTAGTAGGTGGTGAAACAGAGTTCTCTCATTGGCTGATCTATGGGTGGTGGGTATAGATATATAATAAGGCATCTGGATTGGCAGCCTCCCCATGATCCCATGAGTGGGAAGAGAGTCTCCAAAGGAAGCTAGGTGGCCTTGGGAGACAACCTTGCTGGGAAGACAAGAGCAATTCACTGCACAACTTCAATGGCCGCCATTCTCATCGAATCACAGAGATACACATATCCTTCTTCCTTCCTAAAATTCCAAAAATGTCATCTCAGCTACCCAGTGTTAATATATAGTAAAACAGACTTACCCAACCACCGTAGGAGGCATTTCGACATCCAAGGGACTCGATCTGTCTCCATTTCGGTATCTCTGGGTGATGTGTCTTCCTCTGCTTTAGTCTGGATATGGCATATGTGGAACTGTCAATTTAAGACAGAATAATAAGTTTATTTACCTCCAAATCATAGACTCCAATTATATATATCCACACAGTATATAGTGGTCGGCTGAACACAACATGAGGCATAACCAGATAACAGGAATCCAGTCACTCTGTGGAGATGGGCTGAGTCCCCTCCATGGATTCCCTTGCTCTTTATCTCCCTAGGTCTCGGTGTCTCCATCATCAGATGGACGCAATTGCTTTTGAGGATCAAGAGGCAATGCACATCAAATGTTTCACACAGTACCTGGCACCCAGCGCACACTCAATAAACAATAGCTGTTACACTACGGTGTCGGGTGAATTTCCCGCCAAAATATAAGATGGCGCGTTAAAATGCCTATATCTTTTGAAGTATGGGTTCGATTGAAATGAAATATTTGGTAATACGCAGTTACAATCGGCCCGAGTTTACACGTTCCCCGCACTCCACCGCAAATCTATATGAACCGAGTTTAAGACGGCTCCCGCGGAGTACGCGCAATTCACGCGAGCCGACTTAACTCGTTTCCCGCAACCCAAGTGTTTTAATATTATTCCATCACATCTGTTGTCTCTCAGTTAGGTAGCCACTGAGTTTTTTAAAAAAATATATTTTTATTGATTTCAGAGAGGAAGGGAGAGATAGAAACATCAATGATGAGAGAGAATCATGGATCGGCTGCCTCCTGCCCGCCCTACACTGGAGATCGAGCCCACAACCCGGGTATGTGCCCTGACTGGGAATTGAACCGTGATCTCCTGGTTCTTAGGTCGATGCTCAAACACTGAGCCATGCCAGCCAGGCTAGCCACTGAGTTTTAAGTGGAATACCAAGAACCTAAGACTCAGGCCTCGCCCTTGGGAAACAGCATCCCATTGGGAAGGGAAGAGTCTCTCGGCTGAACAACAGATCAGGAATAATCCCAGGAGGGGGACACTAAGGCACATGAGCATCAGCCGCGTCCCATTCTCCGCTGCAGAGCATCGCTTCATGAAGCCTCTCAGGTCTTCTTCTCTGTCATCAGACTGTTTGTTTCCCTCTGCAGGTTCTTTGGATTTCCAGCCACCAGTCTGGTTGTTTTCCAAATTAAACAGGCATTGCTACAGGGTCATTGACCCACTCAGAAAACATACCTGAGCACCTATTACGCATCAGGCATGGTCACGAGCAAAGAGGGTGATCAAGGCAGCTATGACCCTGCTCTAAGGAGCTGACATTTGGACAAGAATG